TCATGGTAGTTGTTGGTTTTGTCATGCGCAGAACGACTAAAAATGTGCCGTCTGCGTTCTGTTAAAATATAGAAAACTTAGAACAAGCGTTAGCCAGGCCTTTTGAATTTGAGTTTCCGTAATGCAAGTAATGGCGGAGTGACACCTCCGCGTAAATGCTAACTTCCACTAAATTTTGGCAGCTGGTCCATGTTTCACTGTAATCTGACAGAGTTTCCGTGAGAGCGATCCCGATATGTACATCAAGTCATTCGAAGTTGGGCTTGTAGAAAATTTTATTTGGTTTCTTTATTCAGCAGAAATTGAAAATATGATTATTATCAAGCACCCTGTGTGCTCGTTGTACATACTATGTACAGCTTGGATATGAGCTCTAACGGAAACAAAAAAAAAGTCACGAAGTACAAGTTTCCTAGTCGTGTAGCGCATACTATTGGCATCGAGCCAACAAACGCGCACAGATTATAAAGTAAAGGTCTGTGTGAATAAAGCCGTCAATTTAGCTCCGGGACTGTAGATCTGAAGGGCTCCGAAACTGGCACAACACGTATATGAATTTGGCTCTCCATCAATAAATGGGCCATACACTCAAACAAGCTGAAGTGACACGTCGGACTTAGCGGCTATTTATAAAGGATGATTGACTCGTTACTTCAACAATATCAATTCGACTCCATCAGAAGCCACAAAAATCTTCTATGTGGCGTTCGTCACCTGTGACGCCGCCACCCACGCCGCGACAGCCATTGTGTGTACCACAGGTACTCTTATGAAGCATGAGCAAAGTTTTTTAGGCTTCTGTTTTTTTTCGTAGGTTAGCACGAAGGTACGCATTTCCGCGTGTGTACACGTGTGAAATACTGATTCGGGGATTATGATTAACCGACCTGCTGGCGTCTCTGGTGGCGTCCCGTGTTCCTGTGTCTGAATTTACGCTAGATGTGAAAACTACCAATCATTTGATGCAGTTTGACGTTTCAATATGTTGTTATATTTTCGTCTTACGCTGAACAGTTCTCGCCTCGACAACCTGCTCTAGCCGAAGTATTTGTATGGCAATATCGTATCGCATTCTACGCTGCGATTTCACCATATTGGGAGGATGTTCACACGTTTGCATACGTCGGCGACCTCCAACCGGCATCGGAGCACAATGCTTTGTTGAGTGGACGACATTCTGATCCACTTGTGGCTAGGTCATTCAGGTCTGTTCGGCATGTATATTAGACTATCTGACAGCACGAAAGAAATAACCGTAGCAGAGATGAAGTCGCATGAGTGAGTACGACTTGTCTTGAAACTTGTCGATCTATGTGAAAATGATATTGGCCCCTGGTGGCGGGCTCGTCGTGACATTCGTTATTGTTTATGGGCAGGAAGACTTTGATCGTACCTGATCAGAGGCAGTAACCGATGCCATATGGCTACCCTCGTACCCTTCTCCGGTGGCACAGTATATCTTGACAGCTTGGTGAACGTCCATCTGTTCCGAACTTAGTTTCCGCTGCCCTGACGCTATTACTTACAACGACTCCAATATCTCGTTCACTTCGTTTGTTGTCATTTTCTAGTCTATTGTCTGCCTTTGTGTGACTGTGTTGTTTCAAGTAGTATCAATCCTAGGCTGATCTCGGTACCTAAATCAAGAACCCTTCTCGCTTCAATTTCTCATCCCGTGCGAATCTCATGCCTCAATTCCGATAAGATCTTATATTGGGACGTTTCTTTCTTACACATGCTTACAAAAGGGAAAGATGGGAAAGCCCTAGACTGCTATCCCAAAGAGCCAACCCGAAAGTCAGTCGCTCAGCTCAAGACGCCATTCAGTGCTCCTGCCCTGGATTAAATAACCGTTGTCCGTATTAACCACCACGTATTCATACAGCTACGGCCTACCCCCATATACAATCGAGATGCGACACGAGGTATGACCCCACAGTGTTGTTCCCACGATATCAGCGGAACGGAGCGTCGACGATCAAGAACGTGAAAAGCGTTTCGTTTTTACTATTTACGTCAGTACAACCGCTGCTTGTGCTGCTGTTATGGATTGTGTAAGACATTAAAGTGTTAACCGAACTCGCCGCTATCCCAAACACTACTGTGATAACTTGATAGTAATGACTCGTTGAGTGGAAGTTTACTGGGAGCTCTTCTACGACAACGCAAGGCTGCACGGGGTAGAACACAGAACCTTTACAGCTGTTCCCACTGCCCGGCTATTACAATAGATCTTATATAATGCATACAGATTACCCGTAATTATGTCGTTGTAGTTTGCCTTTTCTTTCTCTACAATGGTTTAATGCCACCGTTGTATCCTACAATCGTACCGTACGCATCGGTAAGAATACGGAAGGTTATATAATGATGAATAAACACGATCAGCAATTGTATTTATCTAGTGAAAGGAGATGCCTGCTATATGTATCTAGCCAGTTTCAGCGCTTTACTGCGCCGTCATGCTGACGATCGACATTTTATGTGGATAAATCGTGCCTCTGCGATATAAACTGGATCTGCTCAAGAACAGGGTGGACAAATCGATACATTCAGGATTGATATGGTGGATCTGCCGGTACGTGTCATGATAGTTTTGTCATCACGTCCAATGAGTGTTTCTACCACACAAAGAGCTCTTGAGTGCTAGACCGAAATCTGATCGAGCTTTTAGTTGAGGATTATTACAACGCCTTGCAATGTTGCCGACGAAGTTGCCCCATTTCTAAAACTTCGGTTCGATCTATTTTAGCTTGATTATTTCTTGCCTGTTTGGCTAAAAAACAAGACGCAATGTAGAACTGTTCGATAAGTCGATTGTTGCAGACAGCACACATTCAAAGTTACCTCCATAAGCGTTATACAGACGTTCAACGTCCGTGAAAGCGTTGCACTTTAGTTTAGATAAAAGTAAACGAACTTAAAAGTTAAAATGGGCGGTGGCCGCGACATAACTAGTCATATTTCACTGCGTTTATACAGTTTGTCGCCGCAAGAACATTATACAGTGAATTAAACGTTCTTTTTTTTAAGTTTTACCAATCCTTAATTAGTACTGATCCAATAGATTGGATCAGTACTAATTAAGCTACCCGTATGTATGTAATCCTAAAGCTCGATGGCAGGCAAATGAACTTCGTTGTCACGCCATTAAAAGTTGTTGACACGCTTCTTACATTGACTAAATCATGGATACGTGAGTTTTTTCGGCTCCCTTGACTCGTCGTAATCATCCTTGACGTGACGCGCTGCTCAAAACGTACTATACTCACCCTCATGTTTAAACCGCGCCCCGTTCAGCCATCGTTGACTCTTAGAAATTCATTCGAGGAAACATTACACTGAGCGGCGGGTGAATATTTACTAAGCTCTAGCATAGGCCTGATACAAGAATTAAGTGCAGTAATAATAACAATAAAAATTGTGGATATTGTCGATTCTGGTGCTATTCAAACTGGATTATAGCAACAGCCCTTTCCGGGGGGGCAGAACTGTCGAAGCGTTGCGTTTGCTGCCGTTGATGTTGTTGCTTCTAGCTGTTTTCTGCTTTGGTGCCAGCCACAGTTGCTACCGAGTATTGCCCCGCCCAAACGCGGTGCCACGATCCCATCGCGTTTGTATATATTGATGCCATCTGTCAGAAGCGTCGTGGTTTAGCGAGACCTAAATGTGGGTATTGTCACACCTCGCAATGACAACTAGCTGCTATAATTCCGATGGCTCCGTTTGTAATAAAACTAAATCTTACAAACGATTTGTCTTTCGCTTTTAATCGCAACAATCGGGCCTAAAGACTCCGGCCCAACGGTAAATGCTGGGCTATAGCTGTGAACGTATGTCCGTGTGCGTTCTCGTTGTTGCTGTTGTCATTGCCTTTGTGTGTGTCTCATAAGCGTCGGTTTAAACAAAGTGTCTATTTAGTGACAGTCTCAGCTCAGGCATCCATTGCGATTACAATGGCGACGACTTGCGGTAAAAGCTATGACAGCTGTCGCTGGATCAGGCTGCAGGCGAGTGCTCGTTCTGCGTTCTTCCTTTCTTTCAAGCTTACTTGTACAAGCTAATGTCTGTGGGGGAAGCGGGGGGGGGGGGGGTCGGGCGAAGAGCGACCTCGTTCTGATCTGCACTATGAGGACAAGCTTCTAAACAACCCCAGGTGTGCAGCGACACCGGCTCATGTCGACCGAGAAGCTTACGTTCCTATCTCGCTACTGTTTTTTCAGCGTTTAACAGGGAGTGAACACCGTCCAAACTGCTACGGTATGCTACCCATATTCTGGGTTAACAGCGCCGCTAACAAAAATTTAACAAACAGGTGACCGAATAGACTGGTCACCACATCCTCTGTCAATCGCAAAAAGAGCCGAAAGCATTCCGACAAATTGCCACCGTTATAACCCGTTTAAAAATGGAGTGCACCTTTTCCTGCGACTGAGCCAAATGAAATTTGATGAACGGCGGGGGGAGCAGCCAGGGGCGCCCAACGCTGTTGAAAGTACCAGCAGAAACAAACCCATTCATCCGTTGTTGTTATTATAGAATAAGGTATGTAGCTCACATTAATTTTTGTGCAATGATGGTTAGTCAACTCGTTCGATTCTATCAAATGTATCTGCATGTACCATAATTGCTTATGCTGTCTGTTCTGATAACTGAATATTCGACATTACGGTCCGTTTTCGGCCCTCTTTGATGTCGATCGAAAGTTAACTATCGATATATCCATATGCTGAGTCAGCCTGTAACTGTAGCATCTCTATGCAGTCACTCTAATTTCAATAGAAATATGGCTTTGTAACAAAGTGTCCTACACATGTGTAGTTAACATAATGGTAGCTCGGTCCTTCCTGACTCGAAGAGATGCCCTAGTGTAGAAGATTTAACCATATACTAAATTGGCTTTACTAACAACTAATCTATAATGAATTAGCTCGTTTATTTTAGCTTTCTCAATATTCCGTCAAGCTTTTAAAGACCATAACAACCTCCTAGCAGTGAATACAAATGGCTGAAATTGTTACTTCCTAATAGTGACGACGAAGACATTAATCCAATTCAATTCGATAAATATACAGATCGATAGGCTTTTGTGATATTGATGCTCTAAGAACAAAAACTTTATCCATTGTTCAAATATACGTTTACGTGACAGTCATCAGCCGTCTCAAATGTCGTAACAAAGTTTGTCAAAACTTCAGGTGTTTTGTCTAAGATCTAACTAGGTACCTGTCTAGTGGCTAAATCCTATTACAATCTAGTTATATCTGAATCAATCGACGTTGATCTGATTCCTGCCATTTACCTCCTGTCTCACGTGGCCTGACAGCTCCGCGTCGTGGCGGAAAACTAACGAATTAGCACAACCAGTCACATAATAACTCAACTAAAAACAGCAAAGTTCCTGATTCGAAATTTTGTTTTATGTGTTTTTTCAATCTAAGCAACAGCTTTAACTGTAGAATGAATTCTGCTCTGCGTGCAGAACGTATGACGTAAACAATGATTCAAAAGTTCGCGCCGGAAAGTATTGTAAATACCTTAATTTTTTTTCTCTTTTTCTTTTATGCTATTCCACATACACATTAGCGTCATTATAGTCTGAATTTATAGAATAGATTCCACGCAGTAATTGTGGTGTCATTGGACCTGAAACATTGTCTTTTGAGATTGTTCGAGTAATCTCAGGTAGAGCCCTTATCTGGTAATCGATGTTAATGAGCGCAATGAGGGTTCTCCTCTATCTCTCCGTATCCATCACGATGCTCCGATAGAGTACAGTATCGTTATTATTTGTCCACAAAGCTATTTGGAACAATCAATACATCGCCTACAATGTAAAACTTGGGTTCAATCGATGTTCTGTCAGTTCTACCCGCTGGAGCTTGAAACCGTCCCGCGTCTCACAGTTGTTTCTGAGGCTACCAGGTAACTATCCCTTGTAATCAACGGCTTCATCTCTGAACCCAGTAAAATTCAAATCTTCTGTTGATGCCTATTTCTTAGCTTCCCAACTTTCCCCCAAGCTTCTGGTATGTCAGTAAAAGGCGATCAAGCAGTAACCTTGCAATATCATATATATGAATCGTTAAGTGTATACGACGGTATAGAGTAGTCTTGTTTGTTTTGTATTCAATTCCCTCCATTGTAACGATGCATGGCTTTCTCGAAGTGTTCTGTAGCCTCCTACATAGGGACGAGAAAAGACTGGCGGAACTAGACCTTTGGCGACAAAAGCAAAATACATAGAGGATCTCTGCACAAAAAGCGCGCAAGTCTGTGATCCTTTTCTTATTCCCCAAACGGTCTAATTTTGGGCCAGCTCAGTGCCCGCCGTAGGATTTCAGGCATTTAGAAAACAAGCAACTTCAACCTTCAGACCTCAGCAGGACACCGGTTTGAATTTTCTCTCCGGATTTGCCCGTCCTCTGTCGCCATCGCCATAACTGCCTACCCGTATATATCGTCCTTCTTCCGACTACGTCTTTCAGAAGAGATTTTTTGACAGCCTGTAGCAGTAGGTCTTAGATTTTACGGGCAAAGAAGGCCATCCTCACTTCAAGCGACACCAGCATCCTTAAACATCACAATTACCATCGACCCAACAACGTTAAAGACGGTGATTTCGCCGCTTGCACTCAGCCCTCTTCGAAGCCTGAATATGGACCCGCTAAATGGCTCCGTAGGGCACGTCGATCGGCGACGCCTTGCTCAGTCCTGCTGAGTCCGCGCCCAGCCCGTGTCCAACAGGGATAGAGTCCTGATCTGGGTACCCGTCCAGCTAAAGCTGCCCTGTATAGTTGTTATGCTTGCTTCGGCATCGATGTCAGACAGAACTGCCATCAAGCGTTGTTCTTTAGTTGGTTTAACAACCACGCTGTTCGCTTGCTATCATTTCGAGTTGTTTATCGTCCCGCAGTTATCGGCCATCGCGTGCTGTTTCGGTGGTTTCGCCTCTAGCTACCTTTTGTCATAGCCCGTACACGCGATCTTTTTTGACGCGCGCACACGTTCGTGTTGGTTTTAGTGTACCATCGTTCGGTCAGTCACTGAGTCGGCTGGTTATCTTTTCACTCCGGACGCTTCTCTTTTAGATACTTGGATCTAGTCCGCTCCTAACCATTTGCCGTAACACTGCCTTTGTTGAGTGTCTCCTGTTGAGAGCTGTTGTAGCTGCTAAAAAACGCTTCTTCGTCTTCATCGCTATTATGTAGTATTTTGGCTTGCGACTGGCTACTCTTAGCCTCACGACAGATCTCGCATAGGTTTTACGAACAGGTCTACGGATCTGCGGATCGATCGATCTAGTGACAAAACGCTGTGTACGAATCTGCGCAGAACTGCAGGGACTCAAGAACACGGACAATAAAGCGTCATTTCGCTTGTATCAGCAGAAACACCGTGCGCTCTTCAGGTTTGCCTTTCTGGGGCAGAGTCTTGCTCACGATAGCTGAACTACGTCGCCCTTCATTATGTGCTTCTGGCTTTCTCCAATCTTTTTCATCTTCCTTCAGGCTCGTTTTCGTCTATTTTTGACTATTCCTATCGCTGCGCCTCACTGTCTCTCGCTTTTTCGCCTTTATCCGCTTGTCTAGCTATCCCGCTTTCTTGTTTTGAGTCTTCATTCTATAGCTCGTCCGACTAGATCCACTGTCTATAGGGCTAGTTGTCGTCTTTGGACGCCTATGATGTGGCGCTCCGTTGACTCGCTATACTTTAGTAGGCGTGCTAATACTATCTATATTTCGCCCCGTATACAACTCGTCCTGAACGAGCTGAACTTGGTAACAGCATTTTCATAGGCTACAGGGGGCATCATCTTCTTTTGATGTGTCGAAAGACTGTTTCTATTTTGCTACGTCGCATCTTCTGTGTGCTGACGGCCAGTGATAGCCAAGTGGTTGCGCGAAGAACGGCGTGGTAGAGAGGAAACGCTGGAACGGGTCTGTGCCGCTAGACCCATAACGAGGCAGACCTACGATACAGCTGTGGTGGTGACTCTGAAGAGCAATGATGCGTCTCCGGGCTGAGGAGAGATAATCAGTCGTAGCGATTGGTGCCGCTGCTGTACTGAAGTTGCTTCGAGTGCGACCGCTGCCGCTTCTGCTGACGTCAACTTAAATCGAGTCGGTGTCCCAATGAAAGCTGCTAAATAATAGGAAGACCCAGAGCACTAGCAATTGGCTGTTGAGGCTCAATTCTGCCTTACGTTGGTGTTAGGTATTAGTCATCGAGCGTGATCTCCAGCCAATTCACTGCTTCCGCACCTTGGCCCCCTCTCGTCGTTCAGATTGGTCCAAGGCCGAAGTGAATTTAGCCTACTCTATTGAAGATTTGTCTTTTCGTGCTTCTGCGTTGTCGTGGCCGTTCAGTAGGCCTTTGCTCATTCGCTGTGCTATTTCGTCGCTTACCTGACCATACAATATAATAGTGCTTAGCTAAGCAGAGTTAGCGAGATAAAGTCCAGCTCGGCTTACTTCAGCCATCCCTCTCCTGGCTGGTGCTATTCGGGGTCAACCGGAGGCTTTGTCACGCTATAGTTTCTAGTTGTTATCATGGTCAAAACAGTGGTTCTAGTCCTCGTAGAACCCTAACACGAAACTGCCATGGCCAATGATGCTGGTGATGATGATTATACCAAACCATTGCTAAGGGAGTGAGTAGCGGCTGTCGTTAGTAGCTTTGGCCGTGAGTGGGAGGGGGAAAGAGCCATCTGATGAGAAGGGAGTGGCGCGACTTGTAGCCGCACTAGCGCCAGCTACACCAGCCAACCCGCGACCATTCTGTTTTTTGCCGAATGGTCCCCGTGGCTTCACTTCGACTACATCACGACGGCTACAAGAAGAGAACAAGCGTCTGCCTACCGGCCGGCCGGCCGGCCGGCCGGCCGCTCATTGGCTCACGGTGCGCGGTTCACAAACGAAGAAGGCCAAGCCGTCAAGATAACAAGTCAGCCTGTGGCTGTCGCGTACGGCTTTCTTTTTTGCCGTTGGTGCTTCACCGTCGCCTCTACAATTGTGGTACTGTTATTGCCAATTGCCACTCGGAACTGTTGCCGCTGCGGCAACTCATGAGTTACTCATGCAGTTTCGCCCGTTTGCTGGCAGTTACTTCTGCTGCCGCCGCGACGGCCGTAGCTGCGTCCGTCATTGGAAGAGAGCGCTTTGTCTGCCCTCCCTCATTCGCCGACTCACGGAGTCACCGGCTCTCTCACGAGATAACAGCGTCCCGTCAGACTGCCGGCCAGTCAGCTTGCAGCAGAAGCTACAGAGAGTCCTCGACGGAGCCTGTTAGGAAGAGAAACGCCGCTGCTCCGAAGAGAAGCGTCCGTTGGCGCCGCTATTCAACCAAAGAAAACACGAGCGTCAGCGAAACGGTTACAACACTCCACGCTACCTGTATAGGAGATAGAGGGAGAACGCGCGTTGTAAAAATAGAAGTGTTCGCTCTGTGCGTCCGATAGAACTGAAGTGAACCGTCACGACGACAACGGTCAAATCGCCAGAATAAAACAGAAGCAAAACAGGATCAGACAACGCGAACGCACACCAGCTTGTTACCCTGAAATACGCCAAGCCAATTCGAATAGAGTCGTAAGTTTCTGCAACAGAAGTTTACTCCTGGTTGTTGATTACTCGTTGCTAGTTAATCGCCGGTGGATTTGCACAGAGAATCGGGACGTAAACGACTTAATTTCCTGAGTAGCACAGCTAGATAATGAGGACACTGTGTTGGCCAGGTCTGGCATCAGAAAGGAAAGAAAAATAAAATACTTCGATCAGCAGGAAAACTTGTTCTCAAGCGTATTACTGAAATGTGCATTTGGCATTGAGGTGCTCGTGTGGTGCTCGATAGGAACGAAGTTGATAACGAATTTGGATAGACTTGACAGGTATCTGTGCCTGATGCGACCTAGTGGTAAACCGTGATGAAAAGTACAGAACTAGACACCCCGTGGATATGTTTTTACTGTATTTGTTAGGTGTCAGTTAGACGAGTGATGTGAGTGAAGCTCGGACTCTGCAATGCGCGGTATTGTCGAATCAACGGAGGTTTATTTTACTATCTTGTTCAATTTCTCGTAAACCAGAGTAAAGTCTGAAGCCGTATCCTTTTAGGACAAGGTAAGGATCAATCTTCTTGGCAAATTGTTTCGATCTTTTCTGTAAACTTTCCTTTTCTTGTCTATTTTTTATTGTTATTATATGCAGTGTAGAAGATGCCTGACATATCCGAGGCTTTAGTTCTTGAATACCATGGAGCGACCGAAGTGAGACTGCCTATGCCGAAGTGAGAATAGCTTTGCATCGACACTCTACAAATTTAATCTCTAAGGAACTAAGCTATTTATTAGACGAGTCCATTTACTCAATGCAATAGATGCGGAACGTCATAAGAAACGGCGATCCCACATTTTAGAAACATAGAACAAAGCCTTTATCGGTAGGTACATGTAAGGGTAACAGACAAAAGACGATAGGTAAGCACTTTTCACAACGATTGAGCCTAGAACAGGAAACGCTTTCAAGATTTTCTGTATACGTATCACACATTCGAGCATACACGAACGCCCTGTTGTCAACGGCGGTAAGAATAAATGTGTATCTGTAAGCGGTATGAAGGGCCCTTTAAACAATAACCTCACAAAATCGATGATCATTTCTCTAAGACGCCGGTCACCATTCGCTTTTGTGTCATATATTATATTCGTGACGATGACGACGTCTGAAAATACGCCACAAAGACCCCTATCCGTTTCCGAAGAGAGAACCGGGCAGAACCAAGCGTAAGAGGGATGATTCTAAGCTGTTCCTGGTCCGATTTCGAAAAAAAGCTTAATCCACTGCTCGTAGCCGCAGCCGATTCTTGCGAACGCAGTCTCATAAACGATTTCGCCAAGAACGTTGTTGGACTGGGTGGCGTATTTTTGGCTCGAAACAGTGGATGGATCTAATGCTGTTGTTGCCTCCCAGCTAAAAAAACTCCAAGAAGTCGTACCTACACACACACACATTACTGTCATTCGTATACGATATCTAACTCACATCATATCCAATATGTTCGTTGTTATTATGACGTTTAATCTGATTTCTGGCCAGTCTTTCTGAGAGGGAATATGGGCGCGTGAGTAATGAAATGGTCAAATCAGATGCTATACAACGTACTCAACGACGACAACAACAACAACAATCAACGGAACCATCACGTTTTTACGGAATTGGTCACTTGACGGGGGGTTCCCCCCGCGCCCCAACGCGGTCCCGCATATGTGCAGAAAAAGATTAGCCAACAGCATTCAAACATAATATAGGGAGAAGGGCATTCAAGGGTTGCTCCCGCTCTTTAGCAGCGGTAGAAGTCGGGTGAGAACACCAGCAGCAGGCTTAGCCGTCCGTGACACGTCTGATGCGTCGGCGATCACGTACGATATCATGCTCTACGAATGGGGAACGGAAAAGGTACGGGATAGTTTGCACCAAAATTCAACAGTAGTGGTGATCTGATTAAGCGGCGCGAGTGAACGACTACGGCAGCAGTCCAGGACAATTTGGTAGTGATTGACTAGCAACGACTCGGTCGAATTGGGAAAGAGGTGCAGATGTCTTACAGATTTTGCTTGTTGTTAGTTAACATATTCTGTAGAAAGCGTTTATACGTGGCCTGCTTTACAGGCCAATGCTTTTACCTCGACATTTTGATGGAAAAAATGAAGCAGACCATAGGGCAGACAAGCAGTGAGAAATCAGCCTATAACTGATATGAACCGATCACGTTAAAGTGTTTCGCGATATTTTTAAGCCGGTAATTTTCTTCTGTAGCAGCATCCGATGCCCGCTAATCAATGGTCCCCTATTAAAACGTGTTATGGTTTTTTTTTGTAGTTGACAATCGCAGTACGACGACCTCTTTCGATCTGATGTGTATCGTATATCCAGAATGAATCTTCATTATGGTTTTGTTGCATCTTCGTATTTGTGTGGATGATATTCCGTTTGCGAATTAAGCGCGATCCGCACGATACTTCATCTTTCTCCTGCTTCCGCACGTTTTAGGTATCTTGCTTGCAGGTTTTTTTTATTACCGTATTATCCGGTTCCGTCCACGTAGCGAAGAATCAAGATATACCTGCAATGATATTCATACAGAATTACTAGCATCAAGATTAAAGGTCAAACTCGGTGTTACTGGTTTAAAGATGTTTAACTTATATGGTATGGGACGATATACCCAGGTCAAGAAGAACTTCAAGGAAGCAAGTTGTCCGAGTTCTCAATAGACAACAATTATTGATGACAAATTTAGCCAATTGACTACCAGTCGTAAATGGCGCAGACTCATCTATATAGCAATGATTACTGGCCGACTTTTAGTATTTCATTGAGCGATATTTACATAAGACAATGAAAATAAAACTCGTATTTCCGACCAATGTCATCAATGTGCACGCACGTGCATTTGAGCGTGCACGTGAAATTCGCTTCGGCGAAAGCTGAAATCGAGCAAATAAATGAACGTCAGCACACGTACTACGAGTTATTACGTGGTTTCCTAGTCTTCATTAATTAATGTCGTGCAGAGTAATTGAATTGTTAGTTCTTGGTCGTAACGGTGGTGACGGTGGCGGGGCACCTTTGCGATTAAGTACGATACATAAAACGCAGTTGCTACTGGGGTTGCCGCCTCAACATCGCCAGCAAAAGCAGAAACGACAGCGAGTCGCTACGTGCGTTGTCCTCGTTTTTTCTCCGCGATGATTCTCCCTTCTGTCTTTGTCCATCAAGGATAGAATAATGTGGCTTTAATCAGTAAAAAGTTACTACCCAGTGACGCCAGTCGCAGTACTCAATATCGCACAGAATCCATCTATCTTTAAGTGATGGGTATCAGCAATCGGAGACTACGACCAAGCACCCCCTCTCGATGAGACGCAAACGACCATTATAGACTGGTTCGATGGGCAGATCGGAGCAATGGCTTCTTCAGCTGTAACTGTAGCTACCGCAAGATCAGCTGAGACCAGAAACCCACAGGCGTCTAATGAACAAGAGGACAACTTCCGCCAACAGGCTAGTTAATATATATATATATATATATATAACTAACACAACGAAAAAGGTCTACACTTTGGCCAAATTTTAATTGTTCAATAGTAGAAAGCGGTATACTTTTTCATGCTGGGTTAATCAATTTTTTGTGAATGAATCACCAAAGGTAAAATTCAATTAGTTCGCACAAAAATCATAACCTAAAATTAATCGTTTTCCCATAAATCAATTGGACAATTTAATGGCACAGACCTTTGTGTAGCAAGAAGGCCAACAACTGTAAGAGAGCTCATGAGCAGCGGAAGATAGATCAAGTACATCTACACACAGGTAGATGTTTGCAATGACTTCTATTCATGTTGCTGTACTTAAGTTATTTCCACCGTTTGACTGACGAAGTTATACAATGACGAAGAACCGAATAGATCGTCTGAATATAGTGGTAAGTTGCCCATAACCAATCGGGCGTTTTCGTCTGGTCCTATTGACAGTGAAAGTTTGGTCTGACGATTGCAAAAGAACCAGGTGTTCCTATGTATAGAGTCTATGGTAGCAATGTTGATATTGACAACTGATCGTTAATAAAATTGCCAAAAATCGCGTATGCTTTGAGGCCGTATTGAGAAACATGCAAAATGAATCTCCGCTAAGTTTCTGTTCTAGACCGAATAAGTGAAAGCGTGCTAGCTTTGTATTCTGCCTTTTCTAGCGTTCTACTGATATTCTGTGCGTTCTTTTCCCTCTGTTTAGCTTCTGCGCGTCGCTAATTAGTTAAGGAGACAGACCTCGCTGAACCGGGTGCAGACACGATTGAACGACAGGTGCTGCCTCCATGTTCCGGGCCATATTGTTTTGTTTGTGTGCTCCTAAGGCTCCTGAGAGTCGATAGAACGAAGGCCCTTCCTGGCCATTTTAAGTTTGGCCCAAAAGACATTTTTGACGAGAGAAAAAGCCGGTTAACCCTATTCGCATGAATCTTCCTAACATTTGGAATACGTTCGACTGTTATAGTCGATACCGGTAGCACAGTCATACTTTAAACTTATCCATAGGGAAGTAGAGACACAGTTAATGAATAACTTTATTTATTTATTAACTTGAAATTTAAATGACTAAAAATAAGTCAGCAGAAAGTTACCAATGACGTATTGCTATACGGTTGTTCATAGGCTATTTTTTGACGAACGTTTTTAACTTAGGTTCATCATAATAAATATCATATTGCCGCGCTCGCATCCAAATAACAAGCTGTTCAAATCCTGCACAAAGTTATTCATATGTAAGTTAGTTGATTAATTGACTGTTATATTCAATCCCCTAATTCGGCTGTTATGTCCTGATCTATTTTACAATGCATATATGGCTCTGTCCCCGTATGAAACTCAACAATTCATTGCCTGTTTTTAAAAGCACTCGAAAAAAACAGAGCTTCGTATCGTAAGTTCGAGTGCTAAATAGAATAACAGTATCATCATATAGGATATGATATCTACAATATACTGTTTTCGCTTACCTTAAGCTATACTCTCTGTAAGGCTTTCGACTAAGTCTTCTAGACCATCTGTCGATATTACTCCAGATACAATTAGAAGGGGTCCTGTTAGTCCTTATTGCGGCTTGTTTTTCAGATCGATTTAAACAAATTTTATGTTTGGTACTGTCTGTCTATTGTTTTATCATCTATAAACGTTAAGATAAAGCGAAAAACTAACGGTGGCAATTATCGTTCGAGCAAATGCACATTGGCTACCCCGAGCGCACTTTGCTTCCTAATGCACTAATTTAACACAAAACCCATTTCACTTTACAGGTTTTCGGTAAAATTATACCATGAAATCGAATGCCCAACGGCCTGTTGGATCTCATCGGTCTCACAGCATGACTCTCGCCTTCTGCACGATTTGAATAGATAGTGTACTATCTCAACTCAAGGACCTCTAGGGAAAACCCTGTCACTTGGCACCAAACGAAAATAGTACCACAAAATTACGATGAAGCCAACAAGTTCTGCCTTGCATCTTATCAGGTTTCTACTATCATGGCTTCTACCGTCGTGTGCGTACACGTCGTCGGTCGTTAATGTTCACTGTAAGTACAGCCATTGTTGCGCTTGCGGAAACTCTAAATCGATGCGTTCAGGTAGGAACAATCACCGGTTAGTTAGGGAGAATAAACGCCTTGAGTTTATAGCTAAAATCAAGTGTACGTCTAAATCTGAAGTAGCTCGCCTCGTGTTCCTAAGTTCAATAGATAAACCTAGTACCACAGTATCAGGCTGACGGACGGTGGAGGCAGTAAAAATGTGGACCGATTTCGACTGATCGAGCAGATACACACGTGGCAATAAAATTCTCATGGACGAAATGGCAACGAGTTCTGACCAGCCGTATGACTATCGCTTCCCTGGATGTGTGCTAGCGGTGGCTTGTATTTGTCTACCGTGGAAGATGACAGGAATGCTCGAGGAAGACAAATATTTTTAGCCGTCATAGCAGCCCAGCAAATGTGATGTTACAGACCACGCTTATTTTTAACACGCATAAATTTCCCTTCCAAGCCGGCAGACGATCCTGGCAACGTAAGGCTGTCACTTAAATCGGCCAGACATGATTATGTAGTAAGGTTTACCTATTAGTCAACGCCAATCATTTAGTCATTTAGTCCGTTCACAGTCGTTTCATCGTGATCTACATTATCAAAGCGAAAAAATTCGAGCGTTCGCTGACTACCTGGTAGTTTCTGACTGAACGGATAGCAAAAAGATATCGTCGGTCACGGCAAAACCGTCTACTGCGAAAGTCTGTTATCGTACTGCATCATGTATTCAATATGGTAAACACGTATCAATTACTGCCCTCGCATTCTCGATGGTGGCTGATGGCTAGTATCAAGACGATGTTCCGCAAACAGACATCGAAAACAGTGCGTCTTCAAAACTTGTCTGTGCCTCTGAAGGGTTTCGAACAGCGTTCGTGCATCAGTTGCTGAAAAATTGAAAAAGATACAGGCAAACTACACCACCAAAAAGTCTACAGAAAGACGGAAAGGTTCGGTGAAAAATAAGGCGCATCGTTACACGGGGAGGTTTAGCTCTTTATTAGTTACTGCTGTGACCGCTGCTCCGTAGTGTGTTGAACTGTTATACAAAGAGAGGCTCTTCGCGTCTCAAGTTGAAGTCACCGAAGATCTGAGATTGGATTGACGGAAGGCCCGAAAACTGGCAGGCCAAGCCCGCTATAACATAGTGTTCTTAAATTAAATGAACTAGAATATGCGAAAAGATATTTGAAATGTTGTAGTAACGTTTTTAGGTTTTCAATAATTCGTAGTAGAGCCTCTGCGTTCATAGCGTATGTGCGCTGTATTGTTTGCGTGCGCAGGATCTCTGTATTTGTCGACTTGCACGCGTAATCATAGGAACTGATCCGTATGTATGTCCGTTTCTGGCTATGCAGAATTGAGTACGTTCATAGCCATCTGACGCTCGGAGCCACACCCCTCTCCCGATCATCACTCCCGATTACCCAATCTATAACGACCACCATTGTCTGTGTAGTGTTCCCTTTTCACTTGTGTATGATGCGCGTCCACTTTCGCTACAGGCAGAAAAAAAACAAAGCTCTTGTAGGCTTGCTAAAGGACGTGTCCCTTATAATGATCTGCTTTTTTCGAGCTTATATCGAGATTGAACAGAAGATCTGATTGGAATCGCCGACCTTTTTCAGGAAAAGGTATCCACGTATATTTGTACTCGATGCTAGCACGCACAATGTAATCACTGGTGTGCATAAGGACGGGATATTGTCAATGAGCTTCGCTTTGGTATTCTGGTATAATGTCGAGATGATTGAAAACAGGGTACCTCACTGTATTTTTAGAAATTCGATCATTACCTGTTGTCTGTCCGTGTAATAAAACAGCATAGTTTGCTGAGTCGGTCATATATCCCTATTTAATTACATGATTAAATAAGGATCCGGTTGCTTCCCGTAAATGGCGAAAAATGGAACAGTCAGTGACATTATAGAACTAATGCTCGTAGCGGTCGGAATGCATTTTTTTCTTTTTTTCCATTAGAACCAACACGGTATACGTAAGGTCACGTAAGACGCAGCTGGAAAATGACTGCGAATAACGTATGTTGACGAGGAACGCTTTCCGCCTAACGAAACAATGTTATTACAGGAACGAGCGCAAACGCCGTATGTATGGAGTGGAAATGGTTGAGCGAGTTACGCATTGATCTAAAGCGAAAGATCTATGTTATCAACTAATGTTAGAACAAGCAAAAACAAACACGGACTATTGGGAAATAACAAGCGAACTCAGGGTGCGAATTAGATGAGTATGAAATGAAGACTCCGTAACAGGCAGAATATATATGAAAATCATATGAAGGAGTTTATACTTAAAAAAAAGGGCTAGCTATTTTGTGAGGATTGTGTATTGACGATATGAATATAACTCGTGCAAAGAAGATTATATAGGTACGCTTAGCATATAGTCAATTGGGAACGGTTTGTTGATGAGATTGATACGACATGGCAAAAGATGTCGATTAGTTAATGCACTTCATCCGAACCCTTATAGCTACAGTTGCTGGTATCTCATCCCTTACAAAGCGTGTGTTCCGATTGAGGTCGTTGATAAACACTATTGCTACACTGTTGGCAAACTTCAATTGCTACGGCTTATTTTGCTTTCTTTGCAGAACAGTTTTCTCTTAGTCTTCGATATCGCGGTCCACATACGCATGCATTGAGTAAAGCACTTCACAGTTTGAATGTCGTACGCCAATTCACGAAGTGCTAACCATGAACAGCGGAAGGTACAGATGCCAGTCTGTATAACCATTACATAAATACGTTATAATGTGGTGTTTACTTGCTATGTGCGCCGTAATTGCGGTACGCGAGCTTCATCAGGTATCTGTATCATACGAGCACATGTAATAACGAAATAGCATCCGTCTGCAAAACCTATGGACGGTTTCCGTCGGTGTCGCCGGACGTTTGCTTACTTCTTTCTACCTCTTTCCATTCAGGTAGTCGCTAGTTCTCGATCGTACGTCCTGTTTGACGCAGGCCATAAGCCAGAGAGGGTTGGCGTAAGTTCAGTTCGACTCCATCATTCGTTACTTCACTACAGCGATATATCGTCGTGCTAACGATGAGACCGACCCAATGCCTCTAGGGCCTCTGTGTCTTCGGGTAAAAGATCGCATTTGAAGTCATGTTGTCGGCTGGACACAGGCGACCTGGGGAAATAGGCAAACATTTCATGTGGTCGTGCTAATGCTTTCAGAATGGCGTAACGCTAGCAGTGTGTCGGTTTAGCCGAGCCAGCAGCGGCGGGTCAAGCCACTTGCCGTAGCGCAGACTCACGCAATGCGATGTTCAAGCATTTTCATGATCCAATAAAACACTATGTTCCCTCTTCTTTTCATTTTGATACAACTGTGGCTGTTGCATGTCGCATAACTTGCTCCATGGGCAATGGTTGTAACGAAGTAATAATAATAGGGGCTCTTACTATCGAACAACTACAGTTACCGCTTTCACTATGACTGGCATAGGTGGTAAGACAGTGGCTGTATTGCTCCTTCAGGAACTGACCAGAAGCTCCTTAGTTTAGCTTCAAAATGATTTGCCCAAGTATGATACTGTTATTACCACAACTGGCACCAGCACCGCGTCTATGTACACAAAGCCGCGGCTGAGGCCACCGTTAGCTGATTTAGCCGAAAAGACGCGGCCTTTTCGACGGTGCCACCATGCTACCGCGACCACGTCTACAATGTCGCCTGCTACTTTTGCAGCTACTGATGTCGTTATTGTTACTGCATAATAGCAGTACGGTGCTGTCCGTACGATCCAGCATGCTAGTCTTTCTTGCCCGGGGCCATTCGCTTCTTCTGACGTGCAGCTCGTCGGTCTTTTCATTGATTCCCTCGTCTGTTTAGTCGTATAACATGAAGCCAATGTGATGAGGTACAGAACGAAACAGACGCAGAGCAGCCAAGACGAGATTTTAATCGTTGCGGTACGAAAGCTACACATCAAGTGAAAATCATCTACGACAACGACGATATCCAGGGAAAGCCCAATTTCAATAGAAGGTCACAGAGGAACAACAAATAAACGAGTGCCTCCACTGGCCTGGAAAATATACCGTCTATACTATACCACGTACTGACACTGAAAAAAAAAAAAAAGGCTAGCGGACAGTCAAGTGCGTACCGTCACATATGGCCGTTGCGCAGGACAGGTGGGATATCTAACATTTGCGCGAATGAAGTTTTGAAGAATTAGGAGCGAGTTGTCTTTGCCGTTAGCTTTGTTTACCCCTTTCTGTTGCTCTGGAAGCTTCTTGCTTCTGATTGTTATTGTTCCCTCAACTGATAGATGTTGCCGAACTACCGACGTACAATTAGAGTTTGTCCTCTATCTTACGTCCTCGTGGCTGTTTTCTGAATACATCTCATAGTATAGATAATGCCCTATCGCAACTTGAGCCATACAAGTACACCGCTAGAAGTACTCACATGCATGTTATTGGATCACTGGCAAATCGTTAGAACTTTGTGTAACACGAAGTTCTGAGTGAATACCGGAAACGATGTTGAGAGGTAGCTGCGATGACTTGATCTGCTGATGTTCATGTGACCGCTGATCTTGTCGTTCTTAATAACAATGAATAGCCGATCCAGTAGCGTGTTGCATGGGGGTACGAAGATGAGCGTGTCAAGATACATTCAGGCAGTGGCAGTAGCATAGGGTAATTCAGTTATTACCCCCTACGTCAGTAACAAATTCATCTTGTCTTATAGTTTTATTCGATTTGATGAATGGCGGACGTTGAACCCAGCGAGTTCTGCCAAGGAGGAAGCACATGAATCGAAATATGGCGAACATCATCAGCAGGTCTACAATGGACTTAATTATAGCACAGACTTACATGATGTATTAATTACAACTTGAGCGTCGCTAGTAGTCTCGTGTTTAGAATGCGCACTCAATATATCTGCCATTACAGGCCGCCACAGCAGTGCCACAATAGCAGAACAAGCAGCCTGAAAAAGCGTTACGGTTTCTATTGCTAAAATTATGAACTTTATCTTCACAGAATAGTACGTACGGTAATCTACTAGCGGGACAGCAAGCACAATAAACAATACGCACTTCCCAAACGGTTGTCAAGCCGTGGCCGATTGTGTGTCGCCTGGTTCCTGCGTCAACTTAGCGGGGGCACCGGCGCTTGTTGGCGTTATTCCTCCGCCGTAAGTGATCCTCTCTGTTGGCTTACGGTTCGCCGAAAGCTATCTACGGTCCGACTTTGTGCCTTACTTGATTGGATTGCCTTTGTTAGACATGCGCACATTATGGTTCATGTATGAATGGTCTTCTAGCTCTATTCATATAAATGTATATAAACATAAGCATACGACATGTGTGGCAATAGAACGCAGCTGTAGCACCAGCTAGAGGTTGGTCCACATCAGGAAAAGGTAATTGCGCGCAGGCAAGCGAAGTAACTCTACTGCTAGCAGTATAATAATCCTAACCATGCGGTAAAGGAAGACCATATGCGACATCTCGACGTTATGCACACTAAAATAAGCACTGACGGGCAGTGCGGACGTTGTTTCCTGCACACTGATAATATGAACATATCCAGAGCGATGGCCCTGATGATAAAAGCGAAAAAATAAGAAGCAGAAATTTCATTAGAAAAATTTCAGCGACACCAGGCGGAGAGCCAGCGACCAACGTTCACAGCAGCATGTGTCGCACTTTACCGAAGAAGAAAATCAAACACGTAGCATGTCGCAAGCGGTCAACAACAAACGCAGTGAATCTGTACAAACAAGGATACGAAACAAATTTATAAAGCAAGAGGGTACGATGTTTAAACCCATCGAATGTGGTAGTGGGTTTGAAATGCGCATACAACGTGGACACGTCTCTACCCGGCGACAGAATAGGGGCGTAGAACGAAAATTGTCTGTGTTCGGCATCGTGTAAAGTCGCAGAAGAGGCTTCGTCATGTCACTAACGGATATGTGGAAATATAATAGCAGTGATGGCAATCGCGGCAGAGGGTCCCTATTGCCTCGGGAGTAAAGTAGACTGGTGCGCAGCATTTCGCACGCACGATGACCTTTGCTGTTGATCTGTATCGATAAACGGACACCGTGCGGTTTTGGCCGACGGTCTTTCTTCTTCTTTTTTTTTCTATATATATATATATATATGTATATATATTGTATATATGGAAACTAGGAAAATAAAAATAATGCATGCTAATATAGCAATAAGTGTACGATAAAACTCTAATTACATGTCAAAGCCTTACAGCTGTGACAGCAAATAGCTAGAGCTCTAAAATACTGCATGATAAGTTTAATCATTGTGGATATAATGTCTTGTTGTAAACCTCATTTAACCTTGCTATCGTATTCCTCACACTGAATGCAGATATCGAGCAAAATATTATTCGGTTTGCCCACGAGGGCGCAGAGAACTTCAGTCAACTCCTCTTCGATGAAAATAATCAGCAGTTGATTGCCGGTGGACGGGAATTTATTTTTCGGTTAAGCCTCGACGATCTAATGCCACTTGAAAGCCATGAGTGGGTCTCGTCGAATAAGACGATTGAGCAATGCATTCTCAAGGGCCAGACGGCTCTAAACTGTCGTAACTACATAACTATTCTCCATAAGAACAACGGGTCAATCTTGGCGTGTGGAACAAATGCATTTTCGCCGCTATGCCGACGATATTCCCCACACGATTTAAGCTTCGTCCTCAGCGAGGAGACAGGAATCACCAAATCACCCTACTATCCAATAGCAAACATTACTTCACACATCACCGGTGAGTCTAGCGTATTTCTCTGCGATATACTTCATTGATACTAGAACCGAAATCAAATGCCTGTCGTGTAGTTTGCCATCTTCATTATGTGGTTTTCCATCAAAGTCTTGATAATCACAGATTTCTATAACAACGAATTGTTATAGTGACTACTATAGATAATTATGCTGCACCCGCAGTATCAACTTGTCTTAGGATATAATGTGCTTGCAGTAAAAGCTTCTGGAGAACAACCTAAAATAACCTCGTGCGGTTCTCTATTTATTGACTATATTCAGCTGACGACAATCTCTTTCTCGGCGGTCCCATTGACTTCGTTGGTAATGACTTCGCCTTCCTTCGAACTGGAACAACTGGTCCGTTACTTCGAACTACACAGAACGACCAAAAATATCTCAACAGGCCTCAGTTTATCGCGTCATTTGAAATTGGCAGTTTTATCTACTTTTTCTTTCGTGAGTCCGCCCTCGAATACATGCGTTGTGGTCAAGCGGTCTATTCGCGGGTTGGTCGGGTGTGCAAAAACGATTCAGGCAGTTCCATCATGAAGCATACGTGGACAACCTTCCTCAAGGCTCGACTCAGCTGTTCACTGCCTGGCAATATTCCGTTCGACTTCAATGAGGCTCAAAGTGTCGCCTACCTCAGCTCCCTGAAGACGTTCTATATATCGTTCACGACGCCTGAGTAAGTCCGGTAGATATCTTTTGCTAAGACCCCGACTACGTGAGGGTTTAGTTATAAACAGAAGATCAAACCCGTTTAGTAACACGGGTGAATTCAACTATGTCGTGAGATTGTTATCAATACAAACCAATGGGCAATATATTATTTGTATGATGACCTTCAGGAAGCCAAGCGAAATAATCTCTGCATACCTTACTGATCTTATGTGTTACCTTATTTTTCGGTTCTATATTACCCTATCACTTACAGTAACAGCATATATGGAACAGCAGTGTGTTCATACACTCTGAATGATATCGAGGCGGCATTCAAGGGGCCTCTTACGGGCGCGATGAATGACTTCCAACGAGGCAGGACAGCTCCAGCCCGTTTCGAGTGCAACATAAACGATGAACTTACTAGCGACGAGATGATTGACGTCAAACGATTTCAGCAGACATTTGACGTTGTGAGAAACGCTCGCACGATGCCGCTGTATCATTCGAATCTGGAGCGCCTCGTACATTTACAGGCTGATGAAGTATGGACCTCGTATCAGACGAGCGTTAGGGTTATTTTTGTCGTCACATTGGAAGGTACCCTAAAAAAGATCGTACATTATCCAACCACCGATGTGACCTGTGTCGTCGAGGAAGCGCATCTGTTCCGTGATGGCGAAAAGTTGAATCGGCTGCTATTAGTCAAGGAGAAGCATGCTCTATTTGCTGCTACTGATAGAGACATTCTGAGAATTCCACTCAGTTTCTGCGGCCAATACGAGTCACGGGAGACCTGCGTCGATTCCGGCGACCCCTATTGCGGATGGGATTCGCGAGAAGAGCGTTGCAGCACAGCACCTAACGACAACGTACTCGACGCCTTCTGGGCGCAAGGCCATGTGTGTCCCATTCGAGAGACTCCTGTTGCTGTTAATGGATCATGGGGACGTTGGAGCAGTTGGCGAGAATGCGGCCTCGCTGGAGCTCCGGCAGGCGAACTTTGTAAGTGCCGCCAAAGGAAATGCGATTCGCCCGCGCCAAGCAATGGTGGAACCAATTGTGTTGGACATAATGTAAGTTAAAAGAATGATTTTACTAATAAAATTTTCATCCACACCTTTAGGTTATGAATGCAATAGAGATTGACAAGCTCAAAGAGGAATCGACTATGCAACTTTGCCCATGTACATACTATACTTGCCATTCAACTCTCTGCTAGGCAGCAAACCCTTCTATGTCCAAACTTGATGTCAAACTACTAATTGAACAAAGAGCCATTGCCTATTATAGTTCTCTTCGGGATTTTTATATGTATTAGGCTTCAGCTGCTTTTTTATTGTAATAATTATTCTACTTGCAGGTTCATGTGGTCAACTGTACGCGACACGGCGGTTGGACCGACTGGACCGAATGGTCGGCCTGCAGTGCGCAATGCGGACCCGGTTTTCAGCATCGGTCCCGTACTTGCAGTAACCCGCAGCCGGCATTCGGAGGACATGATTGCATTGGAACAGCGCTTGAAGAACGCGGATGTCCTGATAACCCTATATGCCACCCTTCAGTTGCAGTTCAAATACCTAAAGAAGTGACACATTGGAATGAATGGGGAGAATGGTCTGCTTGTAGCTCTCCCTGTGGTGGTGGCTTCCAAGTGAGGCGTCGTCAATGCGGAACCGCGATGAAAACACGAGAATGTGACCTTGGCTGCTCAAAAGAGTATCGCAGCTGCAATAACCACGAGTGTCCAGAAGTTAAAAGCGCACCGGAATGGGGTGAGTGGCATATAGTCAGTCCCGTATCTACGACTATTGTCGCAGGGGGCAGCCAAAGAGAAAACAGAAATGGATCTCTATCTACTAATCCATCGACATCGGCAGTGAGTTGGCTGGCCCGACGTTTCCGTTATCAATGCATCGCGCGTGTACCTTATGCAACATCTATCCGACTTGTCTTCTCCAAGAATGAACGATCCTGCCAAAACCACGTTGACTGCTACACATCTTGGGCGGCGCATCAGGAAACGTCCGAAAACGGCTCGCTTTGGTCGACATGGTCAGCTTGGAGCCCATGCTCTGTTTCATGCGGAGGTGGAGTACAGCGTCGAGAACGCGTCTGTAACAATCGCGGACACGGCAACAGTGGCTGCTCTGGCCTTTCCATACAGGAACAACAGTGCAACCAGGAACCGTGCCCGATCGAAGGCTGGTCGGAGTGGACCCCTTGGTCACGCTGTGATAACTTAAGCGGGGAGCAGCAAAGGAAACGACAATGTATCGCCAAAGAACAGTGGCGTTGCCTAGCTAATGTGCACACACGCGAATCGCGAAGTTGTCTCAACGACGAGAACGTCATCGCATCGGCATCAATCGAAAGCCAGTGCATTGGTGTTGGTTTGCTCACCTTCACGATGGCTGTGATCTTGGCGTACGTATCCGGTTTGGCGACGATAGTTCTCGTCGTACGAACTTACAATAAGCGCCATCAAGAGGAGGTATTGATTAGTGGCGCATCTGGGTCGTTATGCAATAGCATACAGGGCATTCACGTACCGAAGCATTTGGCGTCACAGCCACTCGTCCAAGCAGAAAGCAACACGTACGTGCCAAGCTCAGCCTTCAAGGGACAGTTCGATGTACTGAACTCTCAGACGGCCTCCCCTGTCAAGGTGACGGCCACAATCAAGCGATCAAGCACGTTCCGGGCACAGATAGAAGATGACCAAAATTTCTAAAAAGCGTCGACTTGTTGTTTGTATATAAATAGTATATATTTGTGACAATGTTTTTCCCTAATTGTCGTCTACGGGTGTAAAT